CACAAATGAAACATGCACATGGGCTGTCTATTCATTCTCTTCCCCACGCAGCCCGGTGTGGGGACTGGTGACCGTCGGCCCGCTGGCTGCCTTTTCCACAACCGCCTTGCAGTTCTCGGAGGAACCGTTGTGACCAGTCCCATACGGTAGGATCTTTTTTGCACACCGGCATCACTGTGACTTCCGGCTCCTCGATGTTGTGGCCCAGAAGCTTCTGGAAGCCACTGGGTGGCCCACCCTTTATTTTCTTGTTGCTCTTAGAACCACCGTGGGGCATCGAGAACTGGCCCCTGAATCTCCTCCGCGTCCTGTGGTCAGTGCCAGTCACACTTAATTTTGACCTGTCAGTCGGACTGGCACCAAATGAACTTCTTGGGGTGTGTGTGTGTGTGTGTGTGTGTGTGTGTGTATGTGTGTGTGTTTGATGATCTTGGACTTCACAGGGGGCCCGAGGGCAGCATCATGCCAAGGAGTGAGTACGTTAGGCAGTGCTAAGGCAGAGCAGTACTAAGAAATTATTTTAAATTTGGAAAGCCGTCTCCCGTTTCAACCTGCCTACGTTGAATGGCTGCAGAAGGTAAATATTTTTGGTATCTAATGACCTCTCGCGTTTCTTACCTGTAAGAGGTCCGTCTATAGTCACTACCTGTTTTTTGCCCGCCATGGTTCTATTTCTTCTGGAGTTGAATCGGTGTCATTCCTCAGTCATAACAACTACAAGACACTCGACTGTCCGTCGTTCAAGGGCAAGGCCCATTTCACGGATGGGTAAACTGAGACCGAGGATGGCGCGGAATCCTGCGGCTCTTCTGGTTCATCTAATCGGCCCCTGTGGCCGTGTACCCAGGAGCCTCTTCCGAAGGAGCCAGTTCAGCAGGGACAGCCGAGGCACACGGGCTGAACTGCGCTCACTCTTGTGCGTCTGGGGAATCGTAAACACCGCAGGCTGATGTGACTCAGACGTGACCAGGCATGACCGTGACAGATCACGGGGTTCTGTAAATATTGTGTCAGGCCGCGATCACAGCGGGGCTCTCTGCTCATCCCAGACCCCCGTCCACCCTGTGGGAAGTGGAGTCGGGCCCAACGGGGCAGGACATCTGGTTCTCTCCCTCAGCTCACTGCCCGGACTTTTCCCAGCCTCAGTTTCCCCCTGAGGATCTCCCGGCCGGGATATCCTGCTGAAGTGACTGGTCCTCAGCTCTTGGCAAGGGTTGAACTATTATGCCCCTTTGAAAAACATTTCTGCTTTACCTGCAAATCCAAAGATTGACATGGACTCCGTAATGGCAGCGGCTCACGTTAAACCACATGGTCTTACCTCGTCCTCCCGACTACCGTGCGAGGAGGGGAAACTGAGACCCAGGAAGCATAAGCTTTGTGTTCCAGTAAGTTTGTCAGGCTGTTGACCATCATGCCAAGTGGTTCCATGGGAATTTAGGACTCAGAAGCTCTGTGTTTCTCTTGAAGGGTTACGGTCTCCTTAAAAAAATAAAATAAATAACACAAAACACAAACAAAAAAACTCCGTATATAACTAGACATGGCCGACGTTGCATTTCCCTTTCTGCCTTGGCTAACCAGGAACTCCGAAGCTAATGTTAAGACATAATCGTTGGTTCTTGGGGCTCCTGGGTGGCTCAGTTGGTGAAGCATCCGACTCGGCTCAGGTCGCGATCTCATGGCTCGTGAGTTCGAGCCCCACATCGGGGCCTGCGCTGACAGCTTGGATTCTGGAGCCTGTTTCAGATTCCCTGTCTCCCTCTCCCTCTGCCCCTGCCCACTCATGCTCTCTCTCTCTCAAAAATAAACATTAAAAAAAAAAAAAAGACATAATCATAGTAATGTTATCTGTCCAGATGGCAAGTCGCTGTATTAGCTTCTCTTTTCTTCTCTTTCCATGTCGCCTTTTTTTTCTTTTTTTTTTTTTTTAAGATGAGCCAAATGCAGTAGTGAGAAGGGGGCGAAGAACAGAATGAGGAGCCCAATCCGTAACGGACTAAAATTGTGTTCACTCACCACCTTCGGACCAGCCTCCACGCAGCCTTTTGGTTTTCCTGTTTTGGTTTCAGAGTTTGGGGGTTCAGAGTTTTTGATTCAAAAACCAAAAAGCCTTTTGGTTTTCCTGTTTTGGTTTCAGAGTGTTGGGGGCGCAGTAGCCTTGGGTTTGACACTTTCCAGCAGCGGGACTGGGTCACTTAACCTCTCTGGATTTCAGTTGTGCTCGCCTGTCAACCGGAGGGAATGACGGGGCGTATCTCCCGGGGCTCTTGCGAGAAGCAGATGAAGCCGGCCGTGTAAATCGAAGGCCTGATATGGGCCTGGCATGGGGAAAATATTTGATAAACGTCCCCTGCGGGTATGAAGAAAAGGCTTTGATAAGAGCCAAGAGAGCAGAGGGAATGGCCTAAATGGGGAGACTGGACTGGACTCGAGGCTTGCCCCACTGTGGACGTGCTGTGACTTCGGGTCACGTGCCCCCCTCTCCGAGCCTCCGCTTCCCGTCCTGCCGGCAGACGGCCCGCTCTCTCCCGCTCACCGTTGCGTCCCCAGAACCTGGCATTGGGGAAAAAAAGGAGAAGCTGATGCGGGCCCTGCCCCAGCACACAGTACGCCTCCACACGTGGTTGTCCTGAGAGTGGACAGCTGATTGGGTGGCCGGGGGTCAGAACCCCCACTGCCCGGGAAACGCCCGGCCGGCATGGTGGACCGTGCCTGGGCTGGTGCCGGGGCGGCAATAAGGCAGGTCTGGGGTCCCGAGGAGCCGGCAGGGCCAGGACAAGCCTGCATCCAGGCCTAGGGCCGAAGAAGCTCCTGTTGAGTGCCCACTGTATGCACGGCTCCAGGAGGGCACAGCTCCGGGCCTCACTGCACTCTAGACCCGCAGCAAACCCCTTGCCGCCCTCACACTTCACGGGGAGATGGGGCAATGGGAAACGGTCCAGAACAACTCATTCCATGGGGATTTATTGAGCACCTACTGTATGCCGAGTTACCTCCGGGGGAGCACCAGACCCTGGTGGGACTCCTGAGGAGGTATTCTCGTCCGGCTGAGCCGCACAGACTAAACTCGGTCGGGCCGGTCACTCTGTTCCCGTAAACACATCTTCCACGCCGCGGGCTTTGGGCGGCTGGGACCCACATGACTCCCAGGATGACCCCTCTTGTTACAGGCGGAGAAACTGAGGCTCAAAGGGGAAAGGACCCATCCCACACTGGGGATCCACCTCGCACGCAACTCTCCAGCATTCTCTTCTGGCAAACTGCCCTGACACACCCCCCCCCAGCCTTGCCACGAGTCAGGGGAAGGATGCCCAGGGCCGGGGGGGCGGGGGGGGGCACAGGCTGAGGCCCGGAGAGGCCTGAGCCTTCATAAAGGCTTCCGGAACCCTCAGGCCCTGCTCTGGCTCCCTCCCGGGCCCTGCAACATCTTGCTGTGATTACTTTGTGGCGAGTGGGGTGGGGCTTGGGAGGCTCCTCCTTGTGCACAGCAATGGGGGGGGGG